CCTAAGTTTTAGAAACATACTAAAACAGCCTTTACTGTCTAATCTTTTATACATTTACCTAGCTCTTTTAAAAACAGGTCAGTTCTTAGTATAGTAGTCTTCACCCTGTCATACCCTTTATAATTTTATAGCTTCAATCAAGATGTTCTGTTTTCAAATTGACATGATTTTTCAGTTTATTTGAACATAAAAAAACACTTAAGGTAAATTTTTGTAGATTTATTTTTACCTCTAAGGCATTTTTACCTCTAAGGCAGCCAGAATCCTATCCTTATGCTGGGCTTTAATTCTTTGAGGATTTGTAAAGATGTTTACTGTTTTGCTTTATTTCTACTTCATATTAATTATTCCAATCCAGAGTAAATCTGGTAACTACTTTCACGAATATTAGCTTTAAAAATGATACAGAACAAAGCTATTCTTTACCCATTTAATATGGGAATGTTAACTGCTCTTAAGTAGTTTGAATAGATTTAGAAAAAAAGACATTTTTAGAAAATAATATAGCCATATTTTTTTTAAAAGATCGAGTCTTTAGTGTTAATCTTAAAACTTATTTTTAAAGAGAGTGAGGGTGAGTCCTATTTATTAAGAGGCTGATTGTAAGATAATGTATATTTGAAACAAACTAAAATGCTTTGGGTGATTTAAATAGTTATCCACTTACAATTTGAATATTTAAATGAATATAGTGGGAAAGGTCATGACCTAAACCTATTTCTAATATAAACTCGAAATTTTATGTAATATTCACAGTTACTAAAATTCATCTTTATTAACAAATGACCTGTGCTTTTCCCCCCTCCCATTTTTTTTAAAATTCCAGGTTGTTATCAACCCTTACTTTGCTAAGCAAGAAACTGAACTGTTATAAGATTACTCTTGAATGTCTACCAAAAAATGTTGGTTTCTATAAAAAGTTTGGATATACAGTGTCCGAAGAAAACTACATGTGTCGGAGGTTTCTAAAGTAAAAATTAATTAAAGGAAGACAGTTGTTAAAGGAGCTAATGCAGCAGCGTTATATAGCCTTCCTAGAGTTAAAATAGTTTGTTGCAACCCAGCGACCTCCACAAAAACTGGGTTGAAAAAACATTGTAATACAACAAATATAATGGCATTTACAAGATTACTTTGGGCTGGTGGTTTATCTGTGAGTTTTGATTACAAATGAATATTATAAAGAAGATAATTTTTAACCAGAGGAATATATTTTTAAATTGAATCTTTTCTTGTATTTTTCTAAAGTTTGGCTTCATTTCTTGGTAGTCACAGAATAGAAATTCTGTATTTGCTATTGGTAGTGCTCATTTAAAAAAAAAAAGCATACAATGAGTAAGACTGTTTCTTATGAACATAAAATTAATATTTTTGGTTCAAAGAAATATCTAAATACAAATTAAGGGTGTGTCATTTCCCATAAATTACTTGAAATTGGGTACGTTAGATATATAACTAAATGTAGTACATTCTAAAATTTGTTGATCCTAATACTGTACTGGCAAATAATCTGGTCAGCTTTTTAAAACAGAAATGAAAATTAACTTAAAAATGTGACAGGATTCAAAGTAAAACAGTTTAAATGTACATCTAATGGTTTATATATTTCTAATGTAGGTAAAGTACCACCTGCCTTGTATGTGAAATATACTTATTCAAGGTACCTAAGAGCAAATATAAGGTACTTTTTTTTAACAGTGAATTAGCAAATCATGGCATACTGCAGGTGAGAATTCTAATCTGAATTCTCATCTTTCAATGGGTGTCTGAAGCCTCTTCTGAGGAACATTTTTATGAAAAATAGATTATAAAATTGAGTAGAATATTTAAAACATGTATGTTTGTTACATTCTTAAAATGTTGGTGGAACATTTTCTATTTAATGTGATTATAAAGAGTACTATTGAATATTCCAGTCACTATCCTGTATTGATTTTATTTATTTTTTAAAGTTGGAGTAGGTACGAATATGTTATTAATGGTTCTAATCTTTTGCATTCCATGTTACATTAAACCTGTTCAAACAATGACTAGTCTTTTGTTAGAATCCCAACGTCTGTGCTTTTCTTGAGTCTGCTATTGAATAGGTCAAGTCATGGTTCATAAAATTAGTTTTGTGTACATCTTATACAATGAACTTGGAAAGTGAAGACCACCTGTTTTTCCTCCCTTCCCCTCACACCTGCCTGAACTGCACTGAGGAAAGCAACAAAGTCAGTTTTGCCTTTACTAAAGTCTCACAACCTTCCCATGACAGTAGCTTTATCAAGTACACCAACATTAAAAATAAGCCTAATAAAAGGCAAAATTAAATGTTTTACTTTTCTTGCCACCAAACACTTTGATGTAACACTGTTTACAAGGTTGGTATTTCAAAAAATTTCTTTAAATGGTGCTCCTAAGGTCTTACCTTATATCCCCCCTAAAGGAAAGAGTTACAAGCAAGGTATAGTATATAAAAATTGTGTCATGAGGAAAATAATATTCTGTATTTAGCTTTAGTTATCCTGGGTATGTTTGTGATTTTCTAAGCTTATTGTGAGTAAACATGAGCACAAAAAAACCTACAAAAATGTCATTTAAATATATTCACAAATGTGAGCATTGCTTGCTTTTAAAAAGGTACTATATAATGAGATGGCAGTTGTGATTTTTGCTGTGCCCCATATATTGTATATATTTCTATTTCACTGATTCTCAGATGCCCATTTTTTTACACTAACATTTTGGAACTGTGAGTGCATTTTATGATCAAGGGTTTGTCATGGTTTATTCAGTAATATTTTGCCTTTTAGCGGTATCTAAAATAATGGTGTACTAATGGGATCTTTGATTTGATGAAGAATAGTATGTAGGTGGGCTAACGGGGGAGAACAGTTTCTAGCCTATTAAAAAAATACAAGAAGTATTTTTTTTCAATTTTTTGATTATGCCATTACAGTTGTTCTATTCCCCCCTTCATTCCCCTCCACATCCCCACCCCCACCATGCTCCCCCTTTAGTTTATGACCATGTGCCTCAAATTCTTTAGATTCTATATTTCCCATACTATTCTTGCCCTCCCCCATCTATTTTCTACCTACTATCTATGCTACTTATTTTCTGTACCTTCTCCTCTTCCCACCTCCCTGTTGCTAACTCTCCATGTGATCTTCATTTCTATGGTTCTGCTCCTGATCTAGCTGTGCTCTTAGTTTGCTTGTTTTAGTGTGGTTGTTAATAACTGTGAGTTTGCTGTCCTTTCACTGTTCATCTTTATCTTCTTTTACTTAGATAAGTCCCTTTAACATTTCATATAATAAGGGCTTGGTGATGATGAACTCCTTGAATTTGATCTTATCTGAGAAGCACTTTATCTGTCCTTCCATTCTAAATGAAAGTTTTGCTGGATAGAGCAATCTTGGATGTAGTTCTTGGGATTTCATGACCTGGAATACCTCTTTCCAGCCCCTTCTTGCCTGCAAAGTGTCTTTAGAGAAATCAGCTGACAGTCTGATGGGAACTCCTTTGTAGGTGACTGTCCCCTTAGCTCTTGCTGCTTCTAGGATTCTCTCCATTTTAATCTTGGCTAATATAATTATGATGTGCCTTGGTGTGTTCCTTCTTGGGTCCAACTTCTTTGGGACTCTCTGAGCTTCCTGGATTTCCTGGAAGTCTATTTCCTTTGCCAGATTGGGGAAGTTCTTTATTATTTGTTCAAATAAGTTTTCCACTTGCTCTTTCTCTTCCCCTCTGGTACCCCTATAATTCAGATGTTGGAGCATTTAAAGATGTCCTGGAGGTTCCTTAGCCTCTCCTCATTTTTTTGAATTCTTGTTTCCTCATATTTTCCTGTTTGGCCATTTTTTTCTTCCTTTTGGTTCACTCCCTTGGTTTGAGTCCCAGTTTCCTTTCCATCACTATTGGTTTCCTGTGCATTTTCCTTCATTTTAATTAGCTTAGCCTTCATATGTTCCTCTAACTTGTGACTAAAATCAACCAGTTCTGTGAGCATCCTGATCACCAGTGTTTTGAACTGTGCATCTGAAAGTTTGGCTATTTCTTTGTCGCTTAGAGTTATGGGCTCTGGGGCTTTGAGATCTTCTTGAGCCATTTTTGGTCTGTTCACGTCCGTTAAGTATGAGGAGCGGAGCCTTAGGTGTTCACCAGGGCAGGGCTGCTCAGGTCGATGGTTTGTGACACTGTATGTGGGGGCGGGGTCAGAGCGGGGAAATGGCGGCCCCCTCTGCTGCCTCTGGTTGCTGGGGCCTGCTTGGTCCCATCTCACTGCCCACTCCCTTGGTGGTCTATGTGCGCACAAATGTGCAGTCCACAGTCAACCCACCGCCCTGCGCCCTCGCTGGATCCGCAAGTCACTCACTGGGTCCGCCCATTGCAACCCCACACCTGGGATCCGCGTGCCTCAGTCCGTCCGTCCGTCCGAGTCCTCCTGTGCAACCCTGCTCCTCCAGCTGCTGGCTTCGCCCCTCTTACCGGTCAGGCTGAAGAATTTGTTATCAGACTTCTGAAAAGTTCAATTTTCTGTGTTCTGGCTGTGTTTTCTGTTGCTAATATTTTGTTGTCTCTAAACTTGGCTGTGTGAGAAAGCACAGCATCCCCACCTATGCCTCCATCTTGGCGGAAGTCAAGAAGTATTTTTTTAATAGGCTAGAAACTGTTCTACAGGTTACCTACCATTTCCATCAGGCATGAAATTCTTTACTTCCAACTCTAAACTTGATCAACTAATCCCTAGAATTATACTTGAACTAATATTTGGGCCTCACGTGAACTACTGACCATTGTGTGTGTGTGTCCATAATGTTTGGAAGATACTCTTTAAGTGACTATCAATTTCCAATGTTCATTTACCCTTCTTAATCTGTGGGAATAAAACTAAATTACTTCTACCTAGAAGCCAACAATCCAAGTAATGAAGTTCTGAGGCATAAGCAGTATAAACAAGCTTTTCAATCATTTTGAGGTATAATGGCACAACAGCTTTAATACAACCACCAATCTTCACAAAATAATTTTAATACTTTGTGTCTGGGCTAGCAGCATCTCTCACTGTGACATTCCTATACATACATAAGCATTTTATCTAAGTACAAATGTTGAAAGCAGAGTAACGCAATCAGTTGCCTATACAAAGGTAAGTAGACACTGTAGATTATTTTTCTTGAATTTTTGCTGCATAGTAAATTGCAATTACATGTCAGTATGATGTTACTGATCTATAGAATACACTTTGAACTGTGAGGTATGGCAACTCCCTAAAAAGAGAGCTAACATGTAAACCTGAATATTTTGAGTGATTTTTTTTAGCTGCCATGGATGGGTAAGACAAAAAAAAAAAAAATCCAGCATTCAAAGACCTAGAAACATAGTTTTTAAACATAAAATAAAATAAAATCTTTTAGTAATTCTCAGCTATTTCTTAACATTTCCTTTTTTGGAGCATTGTTGAATGGACAACAATAAAGTAAATACTAAAGTGAAGCTTTGTTGTGGAAGTGTGGGCTAAGCCAGTTATTAAAAAAAAAGTCTACCAGGTAACTGCTCATTTACTTTACATCAAGTTAAGATCCTGATACGTGCATGTATGCACATATACACATCCCAACTTTATAATTCAAGAATGCAGTTAAATACTTCTAATTTACTTGAATTACCATCGTAATAAGACAATTAGAAACCCTGTATTTTCTAAAAAGGACATGCTTAACATTTTCTGAACATTACTTCTAAATTCAGGTGAAGCACAAAATCCCCCCAAAACATATTATGCTCTAAAAGTTAAGTAGTTGAGCATTCATAGCAAGAACTATAACAATTTAACATTTCCACCATGAAGTAGATAAAAATAAACAAAAGTTACTGCTATTAAACATCTACTAGATAAAAACTATGAACCAGTTAACTGAAATTAGAAGGTAAGACTGCCATTCCAGTTTGAATGTTTTCAATATTTAAGCTTCACACTTTCAAAATGGACAATAAAACAGTTGTCCTATGTTTTAATGCAATTAGGGTCACTTTGAATTCTGTGCCCAGATTACATATTTAATGTTTAAAATTTGGTACTACATCACTTACACATTATTCAAATATTCTAGAAAATAAATCATGATTGGGTAAATGTAATTAACTATCATAAAGCATCAGTGGAAATAAAGGAATTACAGAAATGGAACCAACTGGAAAAATAGGAAGAACTAGTTGAACATTAGGTGGAAGAACGGATCTGAGACAAAACATTTGCAATGTTCTTATATGAAAGGAAGAATAAACAACATGTTTTGTCCACATGACAGTCCCTTTTCCTCGTATTTGTGAGAGATGGTCTTCAATGTACAGTGCTGGGCAGGCACTTTCGTGACACCATAAAAATTAACAGTGGTCAGGAAAAGTGGAAAATTACCAACTATAAATTAAAACAACCAAATGTGTACTTTTTGGCCCAACTAGTAGAGAGTCATGCGTACTCAAACTAATTTAAAAAATCTTCACCTAATTTTTAAAACCTAAATGTACTATTATGAAGATTCTTTTGAGCAGAGTTTCTGCTGAATGAAGCATCATATATTATAGATTACAAGAGAGATCTTTGCTGACTTATCCAATAGTGCTCTATTTACAGGAAAGCTGTGTTACCTGGCACTTTACCAACCGGAATTTCTGAACACTCAATGAAAATCTTGACTCTACCACACCAAATGACCTAATCACACAACAGAATACAAGACCACAATGGAATTAACAATAGGTTGTTTTCAGGGTGGTAAAATAGAGAAAGGGAAGGGAAATGAGAAGAGAAATACCACCTGGGTCAATAGGAATTAACTCGTAATTAACAAAGCAATTTTAGTTCATTTCTACTCTCCTGCTATGCTGGATAAAAGAATCTTTTACTGTATTATTACATTTTAGGGAGGAAAGCCAAGCAAGTAACTTGGTGTAATGTTACCTTGCATAGTACCTATCGGTACCAAGGGAACGGATGGAAATAAAGCACCTCAAGAGAGGACTGATAAAAGTGATAGAAAGGCGTTTTGTTTGTGCTAACCTAAATTATCAACTATAAAAAGTTAAAACACTCCTCTCCTCCCTCACAACATACTTAAAATAGCAATGTTCTTCTTAGAACAATATATAAATAAAAATAGGGAAAAACAGGATCTATAAAATGACTTTGGATTAACTCAGTGTAAAGAACTGATTAAAACACTAATTTAAAATATACTAAAGTCTCCCACAAATCAATTTCCCCAATAAATGAATCTTCAAAGAAAAGCTTCTGTCTGAGCCAGAACAACCTCAAAGAATCATTAAGACAATATAAAATAAGGAGTAAATATTTCCAAATTATTTACTGAGGTTTCTTCAAGCCTCAGATTTTCAGTTAAAATTATGGTGAAAAAAATTACAAAATAATGTTAAGATTTTTCATTGTTCTACATACTAATTTAGAGGTCATGAGGATTTATTTTTAGTTTTTTTTTTAATGATGCAAGGCACTTTTCTTTTTTGGGCTTCATTTAGGAAAAAATACTGCTACATTGGTTTATTATATTCTATTTAGAACCATTCCAGACAAAGAAAAATGAGCTAAGCAACTCTAAAAAGAACAAACACATTTGGCTTTTGAGAAATGCAAAAATCTTTTGTTCAGTCAACTTTTTCTATAGACTAAACAAATTAGGAAGGTAATAGGAAAGGAAGCAATACTTGGATCATTAAGTAGTTGGTTAATGTCATGATTTAAAGATTAGTAATAGTCAAGAAGTTTTTTTAAAAAAGATTAAGTTATTTAATTATACTAAGAAAGAAGTGTGCAAGATTCTTGCATTTGTTAATGTTTCTGTAAGAGGCTCCATCATAAAATTGAACTGTAAAATTATTTTTTAAATGTAATATATAGAACACAATGAATTTTTAGCAAACTTTAGGAAATTCTTTTGTTATAAATTACCCAGATTTTATAAACAAATCCCCCTAACTTGCATTTTGTTTAAAGTAATAACTATATCATACAAATAAATTTCAAGTATGAAAAGTGCATTATTGCAATAATACCTCTTTGCAAGTCCAAAATTCTTTGTTTATAACAGAATTGTAAAATGTTAAAAAAAAAGAGAGAAAAGGAGTGAAACCATCAGTGCCATCTATTGCAGAAATCCAACCTCTTAAAATGTTGCTTAACAGATTGTAAAGAAACACATCTGGAAGCAACATACAATTGAAAAGAAACTACTTGTGTTTTTACCATTTTACATTATTATTGTCTCTAGTGTTTCTTCCTTCCCAGAAAGAAATTCACATCTTCTATAACATTGGTCTTGATTCAGCCATTCTGTGCAGTAGCAACTTGCATACTTCCGAAATCATCTTCTTCTTCATGTGTTCTCTTCAAACTGCCTAAAATTTTTGCATGAAAAGAACATAATGGGAACTTAAATGAGTTCATTTATTAGAATGTTACACCTAGTAAAAGTTGCATTTTTAATGAAATGTTGCCATGTATATGTACTATGAAAATTCCAGGACTAAACTTTCAGCAAACTTTAGTAAATTCTCTTGTTATGAATTACCCAAGTAACTGTATCTTCCTAACAGAATACATTTCCCTCTTGAGAATTAAAATTGTCTTAGGTATGATAAATGACAAAAATAAAATTTTTAAATAGTTTGAAAATAGAAGTATTAGCAATAATGGTACATAAATAAGTGGTTATCGAATTTATGTTTTTTAGGCACCATAATCATGTGACTTATGACATAAAATTGAAAAATTAATGACTTTATTTTGTAGATATAATTATCTTTGCTTTTGTAGATGCCACTGAAAATGTTTTTCCACTGAAGCTGTGATTTTTATAACCAACAAGACTAGAGTTGGGAAAAAGGATGGCATGCAACAGATAAAGAAGAGATTTCTTTAAGCTACTCTTCACATCGGAGTCTACTAGTACACAAATTTCCCACATACAGTCAAAGCTGTCCCCCGTACATGCCCAAAAGTTATAACCAAAAAATCTGAATCTCAACAGAGGAAAACTTTAGGGAACAATAACTGGTAAAGCAGGATGCTATATTACATGGGTAACAATGGCATGGCCTTAAACATACATTCTAATGGTTGTGCTAAATCACAGTAATAATGTTCATTCAGAGGGCAGATTCCAACATGAAACTAATGTCTCACTATAATCAAACAAGGATAGAAATCTAAATTAAGACGAGATAAAAATTAAAACATGCTAGCCATAAAAGGCTAAATACCACTGCTGTAACTGAGTTTCAGATGAGGTGTTGCACTTGCCTTCTATTTAGGGAGGTAAGATAGAAATAATTAATGCAAGACAGAAAGTGAGGGGTACAGATAAAGGAGTTTTGCATGACAGGATTGGAGGAAGAGTAAGTTAATCATTGTGTCTTCTGAAGGAGATGACACCTGAACTAAGTTAAAATAGACTGAATGTGATGCTTTCTTGGAAGTAAAAGGACACAAAGGAAACCATCATGGAGTGCAGACATAAAGAGGAACAGTGAGGGACACCAGAAAAGATCAGAAGAGCCTTTGATTAGTACCTCTGACACTACTGTGTTTTTCCTCTGCAGGAATGAACCCAACAAAGGCTTTTGTACAGGAAAAACATGACAGAACTATCTCTAGTGAAAATAATTCTGGCCACAATGTTCAGAACAGACTAAATAAAAAGAGTTTGGACAGGAGGCCAAAATGGGACTGAACTAAACTGAGACTAGGGGTACTATAAAAGAGGGAATGAATTTTAAAGGCACTGAGGAAACAGTCCCTAGCAGATTTGGAGAGAACCGGATGGAGGTGGCAAGAGAAAGAAGAGTTAATGGCCTTGGCTGGCCAGGTAGCTCTGTTGGTTAGAGCACTGTCCCCGTTATATCAAGACTGTGGGTTTGATCCTGAGTCAGGACACATACAAAAATCAACCAGTGAATGCATAAATAAGTAGAACAACAAATAATGTTTTTCTCTGTCTAAAAATCAATAAATATAATTAAGAAAAAAGTTAATGACAACTAGAAAGTTGTACCTGAGGGGTGACTATACAACATTATCACCACAGGCTGTGCAATACATTGCTGGACTTGTTCAGGTCACCAGCGCTCAATTTCTAAGCCCAACACAATGCAGGTATGTACACTGTCCTTCCTATTGTATAAGGTGGTTGGTTCGGATAAGAATGAAATGAACTTTGGGAGAGAAAAGCCACAAATGAATTCTGTGAGTGCGCAAACAGAGTAAAACGAACAGAGCAAACAAGGGAAACAAGACCTTGGAGAAGGAAAAGTTAAAAGGCTTTGTGACTGTGTTTCAAATAATTAATTTTGAAAATGGGGGAGGGGGCTCTGAAACAGGGAAGGGAGAAAGATGGAAATATCTATGGCAAGAGAAAAACCGAGGTTAGCTGACATTAGTCACACTCACTTGAAACACACTTTCATTTATTAACCACCATTTATTCTTAAAAAGATCACCCCTTTTCCAGATTCCTCTTGCTATTTTAGTCTAAGTAGCAACACAGTTATACTACTTACAGACTTAAAACTAAACCAAGTAGAAATCTGATCTTCCAACCAGCATACACCCATTAACTTGGTAGTGGTGTGCACACAGCAGAGAATACACATTTACTCATTATAAAATTGAAATGTGAAATTATCTTGTTTTAGTTCAATAGTCTATTCGAAGTTTTCTAAACAATTTAAATTGTTCAGTGTAACTTGTAACAAGCAAAATAGGCTTCTTTTCTGCCTTCCATACTATCATCTTTCCCCCTACGACCTTCTCAAAAATGAAAAAATCCTTACCTGTGGTACCAGGATGAACAGATAACGACCTTTCTATGTGGAGTGGTGACATCATCTGTATTGTTAATTTTGCTAGGTAGATGGCTTCATATTCCTACAAAAATAATCTTAATTTCAATATACATTTAAAATCCTAGATACCCAAACAACAGTGGTTGATGTGTACATTATTGGTATTCTTAGTTTATATTGAAAAGTCTGGTACCATATTGTTGTTAGAGAAATGCAGGCTTAAAATTCTTACCTCATAATTTCACACTTACTGTTGAGACTATAAGGCAGGCCAAAAGCTTGCACTAGGGCATCACACACTGAACTCTACTAGTCAGTATGTGTTGGGGCATTATGATAAAGTAAGGATGGTATTTCACCATTATTACTGATCATTGTTCTGACAAAATGAAAATTCAATGAGAAAGCAGTAAGAAAATTAGAAAAGTGGCAAAGTAAACATAATTTGAAGATGAGATGAAAGCTAAGACAATCAATTAGAAAATTTTTTAGAATCAATAGGAGTTTAATAATAAGGTTGCCAACAGAAAACTTAATAAAAACCAGCAGCTTTCCTACGAATAACCAATTAGAAAATGTATTAGAAAAATAAATTTTTATTCCTAATGGGAACAAAAAAATACCTAGGAATAAGTTTCATAAGAAATGCAAATACTTTGTACAGAAAACTATAAAACACCAGTGAATATGGAGGTGATCTGAATAACTCAAACATATTCTTAAAGTGGAAGAATAAAAATTTAAAGAGGCCATTTCTTTCTGAACTGTTAATGTAGAGAGAGTATTATTAAAAACAACTATAGGACTTCTTCAAGTACACGTAATTCTAAGATATAAATGTAAGAACCTGCCAAGAAAATTCTAGAAAGAACAATGTGAGAATCTTGAGAAATGCCACACACGTTTATATATTATAGTGTTTAAAATCAATACAGGTACAACAAATAAGCAGGATCAAGGGAACAGAATACAAAGTCCAGAAATACACCCAAGTATAGATGAGAATTTGCTATAAATTAAAAAAAAAAGACATTTCAAATTAGTTGGCTAAAGACAGATTTCCTTAATTTGCAAAGACCTCTTATAAACCAATGAGTGAAAGACCTACAAACTCTATGGAAAATGGGCAAACCATAAGGAGTTGCTACTTTTATGGCCATTATGACAATAACCAAAGTTTGTTAAAATACTCTGACTAGTGGTATTGAGCATGGTATGGCCAAACGGGTCCTCCTTGTTTCTTGGTGGTATTAAGATGATATTATGGCAATCTCTTTAGAGTCAATTTGACAGCATTACATTTCAAATGCCCTCTAACCCAGCAATTCCACTTTGATCAGTTCTTTTAACAGGGTGCAGAGCATATCCCCTACAATCCTTGATTGGGGGAAGGCAGGAGTGAACAATACCATGTTTAGGATATAGTACATAACAACTGCCAGCTAATAGCCATGTTTTCCTGAATGGAACAGGGCTGCCACCCAGAGCAAATTGTTTGCCCAACTGTGGAAACACTCAGGGACTCATGACACAGCCAGAGGGAGCTGACACAGTGCCTGTGTGAGAAACGGGGGACAGATGCCCACCCTGGATATCTGTGTGGGTCACTGGGAATTCTTGCTCTGACTAAAGATGGCAGCCAAAAGAAGGTAAAAGATTCGGGGCAACTGGCAAAAATTGTGGACACATCACAGGAGGGCCCAGATATGAGGTCACACGGGAAGTGCCGGGCACAGCATTTAAATGAGGGTGGGCTGAAAGAATAGAAGTCACATAGTTGAGGATAGGAGAGGAGGTCCACTGGGAGTCAGGGAGACAGCCAGGATGGCCTGCTTGGAGAAGATGACAGCAGAGCTGAGGGAGCTGCAGGGACTTGCCTACCCACCCAGATTTGTGAAGGATGCTTGGAGCTGAAATGTGACCAGGAATACTGATCTTCAGACTTCTGCTTTTCTGAAACACAGTACCTCTGACTGATGTATTCTGGAAATGGCCTGGCTTGGCAAAGGGAGGAAGGACTATGTGTTTTGGGGTGGATTTAAAGAAAGTGGGTCTTAACAGCAAAAATCTGCTATTATTCTAAATCTGTATAACCTTTAAACAACCCTTTCCTTTTCACCAGTCTTGTATTAGGAGTCATGCTTCTTGGCAGTGGGCAACTGAACCCCACAGCTGTTTCATAATAGCACTGGTGGGGTTTTGTAACAATCTTACAGATATACTCACAAACGTAAACAGAGATGTATCTACTTTTCTTTCCAAAATTGTTTGTAATGATGAAAGGCTAAAAACAATCTAAAGGCCCATGTGTAAGAAGTGGTCATATAAAATTCTTATACATACAACATACATATAAAAATATTTTGCAAGGTTTCTGGCCAAGAGGGAGGAATAGGAGGATATAATTAATTTCCTTGCACAACTGAAAGAAGGAAAACAACCAATTTTTAAAAAACCCAGAACTGCAAGAAAATCAAATTGTATGAATGTCTGACAACCAAGGTTTAGAAGAAACATTAATCCAGACTGGTAGGAGGAGTGGAGATGGGAAGCTGGGGTGGAGAGGACATGCAGCAAGGCAGAGGCTGCTAGACTGGGTAGTCCCACATTTGTGTGTGGATAAGCCAGGAGAAACAACTGGGGAGCAAGACAAACTGCACAACCCAGGGTTCCAGCATGGGAAACAAAACCTCAAAACCTCTGGAGATCGCGGTGGTGGGAGAAACTCCCAGTCTCACAGAAGACTGCATTGGAGGGGCTCACAGGATCCTAAAACGTACACAAACTCACCCACCTGGGGAATTAGCGCTAGAAGGGCCCAATTCACTTGTGGGTAGTGGGGGAAGTGACTAAAAGCCAGCTGAGAGCCTAGCAAGTAGCAATGTTCCCTCTCTGACCCCTCCCCTCACATACAGCACAACAATGTGGTAAAGCGGGTTGCCCCACCCTGGCAAATACCTAAGGCTTCCCCACTTAAAACATAACAAGTGGGCCTGGCTGGTGTGGCTCAGTGGATTGAGCGCGGGCCTGGGAACCAAGCAACCACGGTTCGATTCCCAGTCAGGGCACATGCCTGGGTTGCAGGCCAGTTCTCTCCCTCTCTCCTTCCTATCCCCTCTAAAGATAAATAAATAAAATCTTTAAAAAAAAAAAAACATAACAAGTGCACCGAGAGAAAGAAGTATGGCCCAAATGAAAGAACGACCAAATCTCCAGAAAAAGAAATAAACGATGAGGAGACAGCCTACCTATAAAATGCAGAGTTCAAAACACAGGTCATCAAGATGCTCACAGAAATGACTGAGTAAGGCCACAAAATGAAGAAGTGAGGCTATACAAAATGAAATGAGGAAGCATATACAGGTAGCCAACAGTGAAGGGAAGACAACTGGAAATCAAACCAATGATTCGGGACAAAAGGAAAAAAAAAACATTCAGCCCTAGCTGGTGTGGCTTAGTGGATTGTGTGCTGGCCACAAATAGAAAGGTTGCCAGTTTGATTCCCAGTCAGGGCACATGCCTGGATTGTGGGCCAGGTTCCCAGTTGCGGGCATGTGAGAGGCAACCAAGTGATGTTTCTCTCACACACCGATGTTTCTCTCCCTCTCCTTCTCCTTCCCTACTTCTCTAAAATTAAATAAATAAAATCTTAAAAAAAAAAAACCAAAACACTCAACCAGAACAGAATAAACACACAAGAATTTTAAAAAATAAGGAGAGGCTTAAGAACCTCTGGGACAACTTTAAACATTCCAACATCCAAATCATAGGGATACCAGAAGAAGAGGAAGAGCAAGAAATCAAAAACCTCTCTGAAAAAATAATGCAGAAAACCTTCCCCAATCTGGCAAAAGAAATAGACTTGCAAGTCCAGGAAGCTCAGAAAGTCCCAAAGAAGTTGACCCCAAGGAAGCATACACCAAGACACATCATAATTACAAGATACATCAAGATTAAAGATAAGGAAAGAATCCTAGAAACAGCAAGAGGAAAAGAGACAGTCACCTACAAAAAAGTTCCCATCAGAATGTCAGCTGATTTTTCAAAAGAAACCTTATAAGCAAGAAGGGGGCTGGAAAGAAGTATTTCAAGTCATGAAAGGCAAGGACCTACATCCAAGATTGTTCTATCCAGCAAAGCTTTCATTTAGAATGAAAATAAACTGCTTCTCAGATAAGGTCAAATTCAAGGAGTTCATCACCACCAAGCCCTTATTATATGAAATGTTAAAGGGACTTATCTAAGAAAAAGAAGATAAAAAATATGAACAGTGAAAGGCCAGCAAACTCACAGTTATTAACAACCACACTAAAACAGAAGCAAACTAAGCAAACAACTAGAACAGGAATGGAACCACAGAATGGAGATCAAATGGAGGGTTAGTGACAGGGGAGTGAGTGGGAGGGACAGAGAGGGGGAAAAAGTACAGAGAATAAGTAATATAGATGGTAGGCAGAAAATAGACAGGGGAGGGCAAAAATAGTATGGGAAATGTAGAAACTAAAGAACTTATGACACATGGACATGAACTAAAGAAGAAAATATGGGTTGGGAAGGGTGTGCAGGGTAGAAGGGAATGAAATGGGGAAAATGGGACAACTGTAATAGCAAATAAAAAAATATATTAAAAAAAAAGAAAACAAAATCAGCAGGTTTTATGAAACCACATAAGACCCCTCATAGTCAAAATGATTCTGAGAAAAAAAGAACAAAGCTGGAGGATATCACACTATCAGCCTTCAAATTATACTACATAGTTAAGATAATCAAAACAGCATGGCACTGTCAGAAAAACAGACACACAGACCAAAGGAACAAAATTGAGAATCCAAAAATAAAACTGCATATATATGGGCAAATAATTTTTGATGAAGGAGCCAAAAACACATAATGGAGAAAAGAAAGCCTATTTAATAAATGGTGCTGGGGAAATTGGAAAGCCACATGCAAAAGAATGAAACTAGATTATAGTTTGTCCCCATGTACAAAAATGAATTCAAATTGGATCAAAGACCTAAAAATAAGATCTGAAATAATAAATTACACAGAGAAAACAGGTACTAACTTATGGACCTTGGTTGCAGAGAACATTTTATGAATTTGACCCCAAAGGCAAGGGAAGTAAAGACAAAAATAAATGAATGAGACTATATTAAACTAAAATGCTTCTGTATAGCAAAAAAAAAAAAAAAAAACGAACAAGAAAACAAAAAGGCAACCAGCTGAATGGGAGATATTTGCAAACAACATAACACCAAATAAGCAGTCCAATTAAAAAATGAGCAGAGGAGCCCTAGCTGGTGTAGCTCAGTGGACTCAGTGCGGGCCTGTGAACCAAAAGATCACGGTTCAATTCCCAGTCAGGGCACATGCCTGGGTTGCAGGCCAGTTCCCAGCAGGGGACACAATAGAGGCAACCATACATTGATGTTTCTCTCCCTCTCTCTTTCCCTTCCCATCTAAAGATAAATAAATAAAATCTTTAAAAAAAATGAGCAGAGGAGCTGAATAGACACCTCTCCCAAGAAAACCTAAAATGGCTAACAGACATATAAAAACATGACATGTTCAACTTCAGTAGCTATGAGGAAAATGTAAATCAAAATGAGATGCCACCTCACACTTGTTAAGAATGGCTATTATCAACAAGACAAGTAACGGGAAGTGCTGGGGTGACTGTGGAGAAATGGGAACCTTCACTGACTGCTGGTGGGAATGCAGACTGGTACAGCCATTATGGAACAGTCTGGAGGGTACTGAAAAAATTAAGTATAGAGTAACGATGTAACACAGCAACCCTCTCCTGGGTACCTACCCCCCAAACTTGCAAAGATATACGCATCCCTGTGTTCACTGCAGCATTATTCGTGGTGGCCGAGACATGGAGACAACCAAAGGGTGCTTTGATAGAAGGCTGGATAAAGAAGATGTGGTACATGTATACAATGGAGTACAACTTAGCCCTAAGAGAAGATGAAATACTGCCATTTGTAACAACATGCATGAACCTTGAGAATGTTATGCTAAGAGAAAAAAAAATCAATTAGAAAAAGCTAAAAGCCACATGTGGGATATAAAACTGAAACTCAGAGACACAGACAACGGTGTCAGTATGGGGGTTACCAGAGGTGGGTGACAAAGAGGGCCACATACGTGGTGACAGAATACGGTTTGACCGTGGGTGGTGGGCATGCAACGCAACATGCAGATCATGTACCACAGAAATGTGCACTTGAAACCTATATGGTCCTAAATGGCACCCCAATAAATTTAATTTAAAAAATTCTTTTAATAGAAATGTGAACTTGAAAAAAGAATCAAAGCAGTTTACAACAATTTTTAGGTATTTATGAATTAAATTCTGTACCTAAATTCCACAAACATAAGATTTTACTTATCCTACTTTCTGACTGCCTTACAAAGGAAAAAAGTTACCTGAAGTTGATGGACAAATCCAGCATTAGGATTAATACAAAATCTTCTTTCTTGAACATAAGCAAATGCATCTCTGAAAACAAAAAAAATTGTTAGCTCATGAATTAATTTTTCCAGAATTCATCTAAAATAGAAACCTAAAAATTTATCTAAAGTAGGAAATCATACTCATACAGCTTATACTCCAGAGTGGTAGTGAGTTGTAGTGGAAAAACTGACAACACGACCAGACAAATTACAATAAAATGGGATTATAATTCCTATCTTGTTGGGCTATTGTGAAGATGGGAGATAATGAGCGTAAAACACTTTGTATAGCATCTGTCACATAGTATAGTACATGCTCAAAATATTACCATTGGTTGAATGAGAAATGTATCTACTTCTTTGTGTTGTTATGAGACTTAAATGAAATAAAAATTTCTATAATAATACCTAGAACATAGCAGAGACCCAATAAATGAGAGTTACTTTGATTATTAATCAGAAAGATACCAAATAAGAAAGAGAATATATAAAACAAAGTCTCACGATGCTTGTTGATCTTTTTCAATTAAGTAAACAAAGCATTGTAAACAATGTTTGAATACATTATTTGTATTCAAATAATATTCCTTTAAGAACTAGTAATTTTAAGCAAACTTTTCCATTATAATTTCAGCACAAAGGATACAAAAAAAAAAACAACAATTGAATGTTTACTATGTGTCGGGCATGTGGATCCAATGCTGAACATAGCTCAAATGAAGAGAGTAATGGAGAACTTGGTATAAGGCAGAGAGGTTGATAAGTGCATGCCATTTATTGGTTATGTTAAGAATTATTAAGGATCAGAAACCTTTGAGAGCTTTTTTGGGTAAGATGATTATGCAATCATCAGATTTATCTTGAAAAGACCATTCCAACTGCAGTGTGGAGAAGGAACAGACTGGAGCAAAGAATGCAGGAGACCACTGAGAAGGTTCCTAATGGAAGAATCCAAGGAATACATAACTGGAGCTTGGATTAGGGGGATTAAATGATGCAGAGGAAGATATACTGATACTCCAGGTATTGGGTTGGCCAAAAAGTTCATATGGGTTTTTTTTCTGTTAAATAAAAGACACATTTTTCATTTTCACCAATAACTATTGATTTGGATATTTTGAGCATGTCGGCTATCTCCCACTATTGGCTTCTAGTGGATAGAGATCAAGGGTGCTGCTAAACATCTTCCAATATGTAAGATGGCGCCACAGCAAAAAAAATTATTTTGCCAAAATGTCAATATTAGCCTAAATGTCAATAATTCCAAGAAACTTCACAAACCATTTGTGACATGTTCAAACAGTCGCAGCACCTTCTCCGTACACTGCTCAAATCTTTGTGTGTGTTTTTACCTTTCTTGGAAAAATAAAGTATAATATGCTGAAAATGTGTATTTTTTCCATCTTTAATATTAAAATGGTAACACAAAAATTCACCAATTTAATAAGTTTTTATTTTTTTAATTTAATTTCTTTAAAGATTTTATTTATTCATCTTTAGAGGGGGAGGGAATGAAAGGAGAGAGGGAAAGAAACTTCAATGTATGGTTGCCTCTCGTGAGTCCCTGCTGGGAACTGGCCCACAACCTAGGCATGTGCCCTGACTGGGTATCAAACCACGATCCCTTGGTTCGCAGGCCTGTGCTCAATCCACTGAGCTACACCAGCTAGGCAATTTTGATAAGATTTTTAAAAAATTTCATGCTGATATGATAGCTGTCACAATGCAATCTAATAAAACTGTTTCGAATGAGGATAAAGACAAATAGACGCTAACAAAGCCATCTTATGGAAAAGACAAATGAACTTTTTTGGCCAATCCAATATATTTTAGGACATAAAACAGACAGGATTTGGGTAATAGATCAGTTTGGGAGATGGGGAGTAAAAAAGGGAGGTGTCAATGATTACAAGATTTCTAACTTATACAACAAGACACACTAAGAAAAAAAATACACTACACTGGCCAGGGTTTTGTTTTATTTTGGGGTGAAAAGCTCATGACCCCTCCTCTCTCTTTTATATCTTTGTTTATGCTTAGAAAAGACAATTTTGGATAAGAAAGACTATACTAAATTATGAATACGAGATAAAACAATTTGTAAGTAATTTTTCATCCAACTACTATTAAAGAAAAATATATTGGTCTCTTAAACAAGGAAAATACTAACATCTGTTTCTAGGAGTTTTTAAACTCAGATTAACCAATTCCCTAGCAGTAAGCAGTTTTCCACAGATTATTTAACTGTAACTACTTTGGCTTCTTTTTTTTTAAAAAATATTTTATTTATTTATTTTTAGAGAGAGGGGAAGGGAAGGAGAAAGTGGGAGAGAAACATCAGTGTGTGGTTGCCTCATGTGTCCCCCCTATCAGGGACCTGACCTGCAACCCAGGCATGTGCCCTGACTGAGAATCAAACTGGCGACCCTTTACTTCACAGGCTCATGCTCAATATGCTGAGCTACACCAGCCAGGGCTTACTTTGGCTTCTTAAAATAACAGCACCAGCTCCATAAAACCAAAAATTTAGCCTAGGTAGATAAAGTACATAAACTACAAAGGTTAAGAGACTAAACATGAGGTATAATGGCCTACCTATTCAAACATAACTAGGTAACAAAAGCAAAAGAATATTAACTTCAAGCTCCCAACATCTCCATTTTAGTAAGAATTTAAATTGTGGCTAGGTTTCAGAGTACTTTCTTACCTGTACTTCATTCCAAATGTTTCCATAATATATGCAATAACAAAGGCAGCACTGAAAAGTGGGAAAATAATTTAGAAAAAAACAGAAAACACAACTCATTAATTAAATGCTAGAAAAAAAAAAGATTATCTTAAACTTCATACCTCCTGGAGATTCCTGCATTTCCATGGACTAGAACTTTTCCTGAAAAATAAGAAATAATTTTTCTGATAGAAAAAGACCTGATTCAACAGCTAAAATATATCGACACCATGTACCACACTATATCAAAATAAATCTTTTCTTAAACATTTTATATATAACACTTGGATATTAATTAATATTCAAATCATTACAATTTATTTACACTAACTGTGTAAAGAATACAATAGGCTTTTAGGATAAAGGAATTTAAAGTTGAGCCAGAATTTGAAAATCATTCTGTAGGGATATTTGAGAAAGACTAACCAAACTAAACAAGAAGTCAAGAAAACACAAACTTGGGAATAGTCCATTATATATAATTATAATTACAATGTCTATATCCTGAATTTAAAGTGAATACTAACTAATAAATTAAATAAAATAATCTCCTAAAAATAAACATTAGCTAAGTAATATTATTTACCTCCAGCTTGTAAGCTCCCATCAATAAATTCTTTAGTCTGAAGGCAGAGACAATGTGTTATAATAAAACACATGGGTTAACAAACATAAAGTACATATAGTGAAACAAAATATACTGAAAATAATTTCCTGTTAAAATATATGAATAAAAATTATATTCAAGAATTTTCAAAATGCTACAAATACAACTATTTCAGGTTTTAAACATTATATAGGAACTAAAATTTAATTTGAGTTCAATACATTCTAAGTGTGATTCCTCAAATTTTTGGAGATAAAAAGGTTTTAAAAATAATAATTTTTTAAAAACTACATAATCCCACAATTTTCAGTCATAACAAAGTAAAAGTTTTAGAACCACAATTAAGCAGTCAAGCCATAAATAAATTTTAAATGACATTAAAATACTGATACCTACCATGGGGAAAAAACGTATTATATTTTCAACTGGATTATCTGCAATATCCAAAACTAAATATCTGAAAATAGAACATTTCGTGATAAGCACACTTTCAGGTAAAACTCTTTATGTATTAAAATACTTTAAAAACTTAGGCAACCATAAAAAAATGCAAAACAACCTTCAAAGTGTTATATTCCCAAGAACTGAACCGCAGATTTTGTATTGATTGAAACATAGAATTTAAAGCCTTAAATAACATTAACATTTCTCTGATATTTTAGTATAATAAATCTATCTGGTTAATATAGGAAAATCACAAGCAGGAAGAGACCTTTGTCCAAATCAGAGTGGACATAGAAAATAAAGACAAAAAGTGCCTGTGTTCATTATTGTTATTCTTCTATTTCTAGCACTTCCCTAGGACTAGAATAGAAGATTCCTCTCTGAATGGTCCTGTGATCCACCCTCCCTATAACCCTATAAAGGACAATTCAGAAGAAGCCTGAAGTCTGAAAGAGAAGGAGCTAATAAAAACAGAAAAGCAGTCTGATGGAGTCGTAAGTCAAACATTCACTGATTGAACTAACAACCTTGAGTAGGGTAAAAAAGTCAAGAGACCACCTATCCTAGAATTTTACACTTTGGAAAACATTAAACATAAGACATTATTAATATGCTAGGCTTCTTTTGTGAAAAAGTTCCATATTCTAGCTTATTCATGACAACCTGTTTATTAACACAACTATATATGTTATGAAATTAATTTTTAAAGCCAAAAAATTTTTTAAATTACAATTCTTTAATGATCATTCTGGCCTTATCAGACAGAAGCCGAAGCTCAGCATCCAAGGATAATCCAATGTAAAAACCATAAAGATTCTAACAACGATAGTATGTGATTGGGTAGACCTGTTATATAAAACACTGCTTCAGGGGTGGGGGAAAAGTTAATTCAGAGTCAAACTAAAATATTTTACTGCATGTCATTTTGAATGTCAGAAACTACTGGTAGACCTATCAAGCTATAAGTACTCTAAATCTAAGGAGAAAGGGTTCTTCATTAGGGATAAAGAACCTGCTCAGGGTACTAAAATCAAATGTAGAGTATGCCATTTTTAAATAAAATATTTTCATTTTCAATAATGTACGTCGGTCTATATGCATGTATACCTAATATACATATACAATAGAGAAGTAATTAGAAGGAAATACACCAAAATGTTAGCTAAAGAATATCTTCTGGGTTGTGGAATTATGAATGTTTTTATTTTAATATTTTTCTGCTCTGGTATCATTCTGGTCTTTCCAAAGTATGCATAAAGGACAAGCATTTCTTTTACAATTAGGAAAAAAGCAATCTATTTTATTTTAAAATATAGACATTCAACTTTTAAAACTAGTTTTTATTAACTAAGAAATATTTGCACATGGCCAAAAGTTCTAAACTATAAAACAGTATCTGCAATGAAAAAGAGGTCCCTATACTATCCTAGACCCTGAACTTTCCTTTTCAGAAGCAGTGACTGTCAAGTTTCTGTCTGCTAATCCAGAAATTTTCTATACATATACAAGAATATATATGTCTAATGCTTTGTATATATTTTTAAATACAGTGAGAGTATACATGGTTCTGCACCTTGATTTTTCTTTCTTTCAGTACTCACCCAAGGATATGCTTAATTGATTTTAGAAAGAATGTGTGACAGAGAAACATCAATGTGAAAGAAAACATTGATCACGCCCATAGCAAGGATTGAACCAGCAACCTAGGTATCAAACCTGACTGGAAATCAAACGTGCAACCTTTTGGTACAGGGGACAATGCTCCCCTCAACTAAATCACCCAGCCAAGACTGATTTTACTTTTAATAAATCTTAGAAGTTATTCCATATCAATATAGACAGAAATATTTCATTCTTTTTCATGGTTACAATATTCTATTGTATGTTCACACAATATACAGGGTCAGACACAAATACCCATTGTTTACTACAAAATCAATTGCAAAATCATAAACATGTAATTTTATAACATAACAATATCATATTCAAGCACACCATGTGACATTTTAGGTGAAATGTTCAAATTAAAACTATAAATTATTATCACCATATTATTACCCTACCAACCACAATTGAGGAGGCATTATTTCTGCCGGACCCTGTACTTTACAGTGTCTTGAACCGATGGACATTCAAGTTGCTTTCATTTTTACAAACAATAAAGCAAAGCATTAAAATATATTTTTAAAATATTTAATTTATTTACTTTTACACAGAGGGGAAGGAGAGAAGGAGAGAAACATCACTGTGTGGTTGCCTCTGCACGCCCCCTGCTGGGGGGCCATACCTGTCCTGCAACCCAGGCATGTGCCCTGACCAGAAATCGAAACTACAACCCTTTGTTTCACACAACCTTTTGGCCAGCACTCAATCCTCTGAGCCACACCAGCCAAGGAGCATTAAAATATTTTTAACATACATGCTTTTATACAGACATTAAATATCTCTAGCATGACATTCAGGGAAGAATTTTAATAGTAGCTGCTTCTCAGGAGAGAAGCTGAGTGTCCAGGTTTAGAGGAGGAAAGAGACTTATTTTCATTACATAGCTTTTTGTACCATGTGTACCATACTCTTAATTTTAAATGTAAAGTTAAAATAGAGAACATTAAAAATCATTACATGTTCAACAGCATTCATTGCAAGATAAATGAGAAAGGCAAATTAAAATTACATTAAATATCATTTTTTAGTCCAGGAGATTTGGAAGAATCTTTCATGTTTTATAATTCTGCCTAGGAGAGATACCAAAAACAGTCATTCTCATACACCCCACAGTGGAAATGTAGATTAATCCAACTCATTGGAGGGCAATTTACAGCATCTATTAAAATTTTAAATACCCACATCTAGCAATTCCACTTCTACAAATTCATCCTACTGATATTTTCACATATGAATTAAATGACATGTACAGGGATGCTCACTATATGCTATATTAGCAAGTCTGGAAACAATCTAAATATCCAGTGATAGGAGAATGGTTGAATAAATTTTATTGTAGTCATACAATGGATTACTGTGCAACTTAAAAAAATAATGCATCTTTAAGTAACAACATAAAGCTACCTCCAAAAAAATAAGTGTAAAAAGCAAATGTTTATTTGTAGGAAATATGCTTATATATGTAACATTACTCTGGAAGGATACTCAAAAATAATTAACAATTGAATGCCTTTACGAGGAGACTTGAGTATCTAGAGGATAGGAATAGGGAAACCTACCTTTTGGTATACATTCTTTTAAACCTTTAGAATTCTGTATTATGTGTATGAATTACTTATTTAAAATATTTTAAGAAAAATTTATTTTTGCTGTACATAACATTTTAATAAATTGTAGCAATAATTCTTACCTAAATAATTGTTCAAAGTTTGGTTTAATAAAGTTTGCTTCAATATTTTGTCTTATGCATATTATATGGGTTATTCCATGTTTCTGTAGTATAGATAGCTATAAAAAAAAGAGGCAAGGGAGAGAAACAGTTTAAAATACAAAACATCATCTTATTGTAACAGATATTGAAAATATACAATTCAGCATTAGAATTAATACAGCCATATCTGAGCTTTAAATAAAGGAGATTAAAGCTAACTTAAAATAATATACCTGAAGTAATCAACAAGAAATTTCAATGATTCAAGATTAATATATTAAGTGTCCTCTCAAAAGGTTGCATCTATAATTTTAGAGACTGACGGGAGTTTAAAGATAATTTATTTGGTAAACAATAAATACTATATAGTGGTTAAAGGCATGGAGTTAGGAGAGCCTGAGCTTTATACCCCAGCTCTGCTCATGACCTGAGCTCTGTGGCTCAGTTTCCTCATGTGCAGTGGGGAAAACACTACCTATTCACTGAGTGGTTGTTAAGAAGTATATGTGATAAATATATAAGGTGTTTGGCATAGTGCCTTTAGCACATGTAGAGTGTTTAGTAAGTAGTAATTACATATATTGACTATCCTCTTTTTTCTCTAAAGGGGACTAAGACAAACAGCTGTTCAACACCAATGACCTAGTTAATAATCGCCATACCAGAGCCCAAACCTCTAGGTTACTTCCGGCTTCTCCCAGGACACTTTTTCTATTATAAGGCAGAATTAATTCATACAATTCACAGAATCTAATTAAACCTTTCAGGATTTTAAAATTCTACTGAAGTTAAAAAAGGCAACTCCAAATGATATCTTCTTATATACTGTGGTGCTTTTTTGGCTTGAATTATACAGCAATTTAACATGACAACTCTAGAAAATATCAAATTTTTATTTGCAAGTTATAGGTTTCAGTGAATTTATAGATGACATGTTATTTTAATATCAAATAATCGATATTATTTGATATTAATATTTGATATTAATTGATTTGAATATAAATATTTGATATTAATATCAAAATGTAAATTTCATGAGAACAAGGACTTTGTTCACTGATTCATATTAAGTATATGTAACAGTGCCTGGAATATAGTAATTGTTCAATAAATGAATGAACAATTCACGCTGGCATAATGAATCAGAATTGATAATCTTGAGTTTTCTATACTTTTTTTAAAAGATTTTATTTATTTATCTTTAGAGTGGAAGGGAAGGAGAGAGGGAGAAAGAATAATATCAATATATGGTTGCCTCTCGTGTGTCCCCTGGTGGGAACCGGCCTGCAATCCAGGCATGTGCCATGACTGGGAATCGAACCTCGATTCTCTGGTTCACAGGGCCGCACTCAATCCACTTAGCTACACCAGCCAGGGCAAGTTTTCTATTCTTTCATCTTATTATCCTATATATTTAATTCCCACTTTCTACATTAAATAGTCCTGAACAGTAATACTAATAATTCATCAGAAAAGTCAAAGGATAATTTATATTTGTTATGGTTTGAATGTTTATTTCCCCTAAAATTCATATGTTGAAGCCTTACCTTCCATGGTGATGATTTTAGGAAGTGTGGGTCTTTTGGGAAGTACTTAGACACCTCTCAAGGTAACTGGCTTAGATGAGGTCATGAAGGTGAGTGAAGTCCCCATGATTGAATTAGTGATCTTATAAAACGAAGAGACCGAGTTTCCTCTGTCACATGAACATACACAGCAAGAAGGCAGCCTTTGGCAAGCCAGAAAGAGGGAACTCACCAAAACCTAATTTTGTTGGCACCCTGATCTCAGGCTTCCTAGCTCCGGGACTGTGAGAAATAAATGTCTGTTGTTGAAGCAATCCGGTCTTTTATTATGGGTATCTATTATTTTGTTATAGCAGCCTGAGATGATCAGGAAAATATGGTTTCGAATTTCCAATCTAGCAGAGGTCAGGGTTAAATTACCTTTATATTTCCTAAGTGTATCCTGAGTAGGGGAAGGGAGGTTAAGCATTTGATAGGATTAATAATTAATGTTCCATATTCACATTTATCAAACTCCAAAATGAATTCAATGCCCATTCCTTTATTTATATTTGATCTATGATATATGAAGAAATTTTCATATCAATTAATATGAGGAACTACAAGACAATATACATAATTATGGACAACAATTTGAAAGCCCCTCATACCATTAATAAGTAAAAGCAAACCTTATCAAAGTAGAACCCACATGCAATATAGCAAAGAATATTTTTTACTACTCAAAAGATTCAATTACATAGAACAAATTATGATCTTATCATACCTAAAGCAATAGAAAAGTTTTACCAAAAAATAGTTTACTAGTTATCACAAAGAGCCTTAATTTGTCTTTTTCATTGACAGTGTATTCAAATGTAATAAAGGATAGGCTGAAGTGAGTCTTAGAAAAGGAGTTTACTCCCTAACATTTCTTTGTCTCCATTATAATTTTATTTTTTAATCCTCATCCAAGGATATGTTTTGTGATTATAGAGAGAGAAGAAGGGAGAGGAAGGAAGAGAAAGAGAGAGAGAGAGAGACAGACAGACAGACAGACAGAGAGATAGGCATCAATTGGTTGCATCCCATACTGGGAATTAAATCCCACCAGACATTAAACCCTCAACCTAGGTATGTGCCCTGACCAGGGATCAAACTTGAAACCTTTTGGTGTACAGGATGATGCTCCAACCAGTTGAACCACCTAGCCAGGGTCCATTATAATTTTTTGTTTTGTTGTTGTTGTTACATATTTTTGGAATGATGGCATGAAAAGAAGTATGGATGACTCAGGGTAAGAAATAATAAAATTCTGTCACATAAACTTTTCCTCTGTCTAATAAGATCCTGGTGACATTTACAGGAAAAGACTTTGAGGAGATCTGTATACAAATACATATTATTTTAATATGACAGATGGTATAATGGGAATACAAAAAGCAAATAATATAATCTAAAGCCATCTTGAAGGCCAGCATTTTGTGAACACTGTATTATTTGGGCAATAATTTTCTGTTTGTATTTTACAAAGTCACATGTAAGTCCTATGGTTACCTACCTTATCCTTTCCAAGCCACCAAAATGAGTAGGATGCCTCACCTGTCAAAAAGCCTTCCACTTTCAAAAGGAATGACTCTAAAAAGCTCCAGTCACCCCAAACTCACAAACACATCACACCACATCAAGAAACTTTAAAATTCTACTGTTTTAACAAAACCCACTGTAGGTAGATATACATAATACTGACTTCTAAATAGGCAGAGTTAGGGGGATAGTATTTGTGATGCAATGTTTCACCTTCTATTTCAAAGAGAATTAGTAGGGTTGTTATAATTCATAGGGCTGAACCCTGTAGGTAGTAGTAACAACATTGCTACATATATTAAAATGAGATCTGTCCTCTTAACTGTGTAACTGAAGAAATCAATTCCAGTTTGACTAGATAAGATATTTTGACATGGTGCAATACTTTATAACCTGGAGCATCTAGACCTCTAAACTCTGAAAAACAAAAATAAGACTGGAGTCACTTCCATCCAAATGAGTGTGAGTATGTGCATGCAAACACAGACAGCAACATACACACTTACCCTTGATAAGGAAAGTTTCCTTAATTAAAAATCCTTATTTGGGGCTTTATATTTTTAGAAGAAAAATAAATCATTAAATAAAGGTCCATTCTTCGGTAAGTCTTTTGAATACATGAATTTCATGAGAAAAGTAAAATGTAAAAACTCAGCTGTGATTTGTGGTGAAACAGTTGAGAATCACTGGCCCAGTAATACTTAGAAAGAGGCAGGTAACTCCAGAGTGAAAGTTACTGTTAACATGAGATTATCTGTGAACCCTTTCTGAAATAAAACTCATTAAAAAATAAATTACTCCAAAAGATTTGGTAATAAAGTCTCTTGATAAACCTAAAGTTCATACCTTGCTTTTCATAGCAGAAGAATATGGACCTAAAAACAATCCAGGTAAAATTTCCTAGAAAAAAAAAATGAGATATTTACCATCAGCAATTTAAATCTATATAAAATATGTACCATAAAAGTAGATTTGTGGGGTGTTTACATAGTTGTTATAATAATTTTCTAAAAAGCTTCTTGTTTAGGGAACATTTCCTAACTACCTTGAGCAAAGAAATGATTGGGAAGAGAAATGCAGATATGCTTTATATATCAAATGAGACATCAGAAGTTCGAATGCGGTTCTGAATAATATATTCCAGATATCCAAACTTCTATAGGGCTCCCAACCCCCAGTTTTACTGACAACAGTGCTTTTATAAGCAGTTTGGGTAGAATTAGTACATTGTATTTTTATCTTTTACATTAATAAAACATCTCTAATTTTACTTCTCTTCTCTGCTATAATCTAGAAATAGGCATAAAGAAAATCTTCCCTTTGGAATGACACAAAGCCTAATTCAGCCAAGTCAAAAGCAGCACAAAATACAACAAGATTAAACTGTTATCAATAGTTAATAATACAAGAAAAGTATAGCAAAGTTAAAAATAAAGACCAACATCAAATGTTTGCTTACTGACAGTTTCAACAATTTAAATAAGTACCTTCTTTATGTTAAACTGAAATTTAGTCTATGTGAATTCAACACAGCAAGCTTTCAGCTGGGCTCTATCATACCCAAGGTGCTACCATAGGGTAGAGTATAGGATATCATATTTGGGTATAGGTCTGGTTTCTCCTACCAGCTTCTTATGGGCAGAAATAACATTTTACTCATCTTTGCATTCCCCACAGCACCGAGTAAAATGCCTCATAGGTACTTACATATTTTTTAAAATAAATTTTCACTAAAAAATAAAATAAACAGATTTTTAGAAGTCAAGGATCCCCAGGAGCAGAAGACATTGCTTGACCCTAGGTCCAGCAGAACTGACTATGAATACTGAGAAATGCAAAAGAAGAATTATGAGAATTAGCCATAACTTAATTCATTCCACACTGGGAGTATTCAACTCAGTCTTCTGGAGGAGTTACTTATGAAAGTTGATTGGAAATCAGTAATATAATACATTATACAGTATTTAAGGTATGATGCAGCCCAATTAACAGCTTTGTATACACAATCAACTCTCCTGAACTTATCTAAACCAGACAAATGCAGAGCCAACTGCCTTCAAAACGACTATAAATACTGAATCTAATTTTTCAGATGCAGAAAAACAAAGTGACTCACTAAACATGTACACATATTACTATGTCCATGGTTAATAAAAAAAGGGCAACAATTCATTTCTCATCTTTTAAGATCCACAATTAACTTTAAATATATTATTTAAAAATAGTAATGAACCAACAGATCATGAGCCAACAGATAAGCCACAAAGGAGTCTAATCTCCTTTGTGGAGAAATTAGATTAAGTTATTTAATGATAATAATAATGTGGGTTGCCTTAAAAAAACAAAAAAGTTGTCATACCTGCATCTCTCGTCTCATAGGGTAGGTCCACTCCTTAAAAAGAAAGAAAAATACAAGAGTAAGTAACATTATAAAAAATGTCACCCAATTAAAAAGTTAAAGATGTGACATTCAAGTGTATGGATATTTTAAAAAACAGATTATACTTTAAGAATGTTCTATAAAAATAGCAAATTCAATTAGCTTCACAAACCCCTGAAAATTTAAGTGCCAAAAAACAAGATATTCTTTAAATAATTGGGCTCCCAAAATTATGATATGTTACTTCATACAATGGATGGGGCACTTCATTAATTATAAGGATATTCTAGAAATTTCTCCCCCAAATAATTCTCTAAATCAGAGATGTTAAATGGACCTCTGTCATTCATACCAATTCAAATCAACTGGCCCTAGACAGCTAAAACAATGTGTGGAGAAACACATGGAGGAAAAGAGCGCTGTGATCAATAAGCAGTATCTGCTATGGATGAAAGAAGAATGGTATGTAACAGGTATTTGTCATCCCTGATATTAACTGCCAGATGCTTATCAAACTGCCTTTTCCATATCTTACTTTGGCTTAAGATTCTGTCTAGTTAATTCCCTTGAAAGAGACATTTCAACAAAGTATAGATTTCATTCTGTCTTTGGAGAGTAGACCAAGATCAAGAAGATTAAAAATAAGCCCTGGCTGGTGTAGCTAGTGGATTGAGCAGGGGCCTGTGAACCAGAGTGTGGAGGTTCGATTCCCAGTCAGGGCACGTGCCTGGGTTGCAGGGGATACATGAGAGACAACCATACATTGATATTTCTCTCCCTATCTCCTTCCTTTCCCCTCTAAAGATAAATAAATAAAATCTTTAAAAAAAGATTAAAAATAATACCAAATCCCAATGGCATAAAATAAAATATTTTAAAAGTTAGGAAATGAAAAAACTTACAGCAAATTGACATGAAAAAATCAAATATAATACAAATAGTCCTTGCCCTGGCTCATGTGGCTCAGTAGATTGTGTGCCCCCTTGTGAAGCAAAAGATCACTAGTTTGATTCCCAGTCAGGGCACTTGCCTGGGTTGCAGGCCAGGTCCCCAGTAGGGGGCATGTGAGAGGCAACCATACATTGATATTTCTCTCCCTCTTTCTCCTTCCCTCCCCCTCTCTTTAAAAAAAAAATAAAATAAAAACAAATAAAAATATTTAAAAAATATAAATAGTCCTAATTTGTAAATAGATTGCACTCCAAATTTCTAACATGGCTGCATAAAATTCAGAATTATAAATAGCAATTAGGTTTCTAAAGTTAAAACTGGAAGTTTAAATACTTTCATTTTGAAATAATTTTAGGATTACAAAAGAACATACAAGAAATTCCTTTTATCCAAATTCCCCAAATCAGAAATTTTTTTGTTTAATCCTCACCAGAGGATGTGTTCATTGATTTTTTTTTTTCAGGGGGGAGGCCAGAGAGAAAGAAACACAGATCAATTGCCTCCCACACAGACCCCCAACCAGGAATCAAACCCACAATCTAGGTACATACCCTGACTGGGAATCAAACGCACAACCTTTCAGTAGATGCTCTCATCAACTGAGCCTTGCAGTCAGAGCATCAGAGTAGTACTTTTAACATATAATGTGGAACTGTTATACACCCATAATAGAAAGGAAGGAAACTCTTGCAATGACAGCAGGCTTTAAAAACAAAAAATAAAACAAAACAAAAAACAGTCCTGGCTGGTATGGTTCAGTAGCCTGTGGACCAAAAGTCTGCCCCTTAGACTCCTTGTCAGGGCACATGCCCGGGTTGTGGGCCAGGTCCCCAGCTGAGGGTGTATGAGAGGCAACAGATCAATGTTTCTCTTGCACATGGATGTTTCTATCAATCTCTCTGTTTTCCTCTCTCTAAAAATAAGATATTTTTTAAAAAGAGCACTTTAAAAAGAGAAAAGAAACATAAAATATATTTTATTTGTAATCTTGAAAATTGGTCTCAGCAATGTAGTAGTAGACTATAAATCCTGAGAAACAGTCTAAGTAATGAGTTAAAATATACTTTTAAAAATTATATTTAAATGCACAGCTAAACTAACAAGCAAGTTCTATCACTACAGATTAATTCTGTCTATTTTTTAACTTCGTATAAGGAATCACACAGTATTATTTTTATGTCTGACTTCTTTCATTCCATGTAATGCCTATGGGATTCATCACCCATGTTATTGAATATGTCAGTAGTTTGTTCCTTTGTTATTGCTGTGCAGTATTCTACTATATGAATATTCTACAATTTACCTATTTTTCTGTGGAGATTTAAGTAGCTTCCAGGTTTAAGCAATTATGAATAAAGTTGCCATGAAAATCTTATGTGTCCTTTGGTGGACATATGCATTAGTTTCTCTTGGACATGTAAATAGCAATGGAATTGCTACATCACAAGGTAAGCCTATATTTGGCATTACTAGAAACTGATTAAAATTTTCCAAAACCAATTTATACTCCCACCAGCAACGTATGGAGGTTCTAGTTGTTCCACATCCTCATCATGGCCATATTTTAAATTGCACTATATATGTGAGACATAAGACAAAGCCTAGGACCTGCCCAAAGTGAGAAGTCAGATCAAGAACAGAAAGCTGGGACCCCCAAAGCCAACATCCTCAGTGAAAGATAAACTAGGCAGGGAGAAAAAACCCCATACCTCATTCTCATAGAAATGAGTATTCTTGCTTTTCTTAGCTTTGGGTCTGAGTAGAAGAATGTGGTGGCAATGGTGCGGTGGGGTGTTCTTAAGTACAGAATCTGGCCTTCACTCAAGTCTGGCATTAGAATTCAATTATCTTTGTGAGGCCAAGTGAAAATTTAATATCAAGGGGACCTGGGTAAATAGTGTCCATGGGTTCCTGGGAGAAGCAAATGCATTTTTCTCCCTGGAGGTACATACCCTAAATCTAGTTAGAAATAATTCACACAGTAAGTTCAATGAGCTCACGATAAAAAACTGACTTAAAAAAAAAGGGCATTGGTGGTTGGAAATGAGCTACCATGAAAAAAAGATATAACTGAATGACACAGATTGCAGATATGACAATGATGAAAAATACAAAACACTTAACATATTTAATGACATATAATAATATCAAAAATGTGACAAACAAGAAACTGATTTTTAAGAGAAGCAAATGAATATGTAGAAATAAAAACTGCAACTGAAACTGAAAATAAGAAACAGTGGATAGGCTAAATAGAAAAAAAGGACACAAATAAAGAGAGAATCTGTGAACTGGAAAACAGAAATGACCTTTCAAATGACCTAAATTCAGAGTTGGAAAGGTCATCCATAGATTCTAAGATCATAAAATCTGGTTCCAGAAGGAGAAAAAAATAAAGGAAAGTAAATATTACACAAGATAGTGTTCTTGATGTCAGAAGCATGGTGGCGTGAAAGGTTTTCCTGGTCTGTCTCCTTCAAGTTACAGGTTGAACAGCTATAATTCAACAAAGGACTTCCCATGCAACACATAAACACATCTGAGAGATGCACACATTGAAACATGTATCTGAAGGTGGGTGAATTGGGAGACAAACTAGTAAGAAACAGGAAATATGGAGACAGGTGACACTAATGCAGCCTGGAGATCACTGTGGGTCTCGGGAGAGAGGAGATATCAGATTATAGTGAACACTCTCTTGAGTGAGCACTTAAAAGAGAGAAATGCAAACACACCTGCCTGAGTGGTCACGACAAACTGCAGTTAAATCTAGTAATGGGAATAGAGATTTATGGCACAGTTATGGAAGCAGTGGTCTGGCAGCCACCATTACCAGGCAGAAAACAAAGCCACTGGAGCCTGGACACTTCCCCTGATCCTGCCTCACTCTTATTCACCCTCCTTCACTCTCCCAGAGCTCAGAGCTGGACTTCTCCCACCCTCCTAGAGCTAGTAGCAGGCCCCAGAAGAAGTTGTGGCGGTAGACGGAGACGTAGGTGGGAACACTGTGCCTTCTTGCACAACCAAGTTTAAAAACAACAAAGTTCTAGCAACAAAAACAGAAAATTGAACTATATGGAAGTCTGACAACAACAAACCTTTCAGGCAGACCAGTAAGAGGGGCGAAGCCAGCAGCAGAACGGGGTCGGGAGGGAAAGATCCACTGGACCAACCCAGGCCTTGCACCCAGGCACGCAGGCAGCTGTGGTTGGATCCCAGGTGTGGATTAGCAACGGGTGGGCCCACTGAGGGTGCAAGGCAGCAGGCTGACCGTGGTCACACGTTTGCACACAGATAAACTGGCAAAGGAGTGAGCAATGAGAGGCACCACACAGGCCCCAGAGGTGGGAAGCAGCAGAGGGGACCGCCATTGCCCCCCTTTGACCCCGCCCCCACATACAGCATCACAAACCAGTGACCTGGGTGGCCCCACCCTGGTGAACACCTAAGGCTCCACTCCTCATACCTAACAGGCACAAACAGAGCAAAAACATTATGGCTCAAGAAGAACAGCTCAAAGCTCCAGAGCCCATAACTCTAAGCGACAAAGAAATAGCCAAACTTTCAGATGCACAGTTCAAAACACTGGTGATCAGGATCCTCACAGAACTGGTTGATTTTAGTCACAAATTAGAGGAACATATGAAGGCTAAACTAATTGAAATGAAGGGAAATGCACAGTAAACCAATAGTGATAGAAAGGAAACTGGGACTCAAATCAAGGAAGTGAACTAGAAGGAAGGAAAAAAACGACCAAACAGAAAAATATGAAGAAACAAAAATTCAAAAAAAGGAGGGGAGGCTTAGGAATCTCCAGGACATCTTTAAACCTTCCAACATCCGAATTATAGGGAAACCAGAAGGGGAAGAGGAACAGCCACAAGTGGAAAACTTATTTGAACAAATAATAAAGGAGAATTTCCCCAATCTGGCAAAGGAAATAGACTTCCAGGAAATCCAGGAAGCTCAGAGAGTCCCAAAGAAGTTGGACCCAAGAAGGAACACACCAAGGCTCATCATAATTACATTAGCCAAGATTAAAATGAAGGAGACAATCCTAG